GCGGTTCATTGGGAAGATTGGATGAGAGTTTCAGACTGGGTTTTATTTGAAGGAATAATTGGCTCTTTTGCTTCCCTCCATCTCTATTCTAGAGGAAACATTTCATTTGGGTTTCAGATCCAGTAGCCTTGGGCTACATTACTTTCTTCAACCACAAGGTCAAGGAGAACTTAGGCTGGAAAGACATTTGCAAGTTGCTTGATTAAATTGCTAATGGGCACTGAGGAAAGATAGTTCCCATTCTAGGACTGTGAGAGACGTCTTCTTCTTCAATGTAGAGGTAAAAGAGAAAGAAGGGTAAATGGGAAACCGTGTGTAAGTGACAGGTTCACACACAAAGGGCACTCAACAAGTTCATAGAAAATGGAGCTGAAACCTAAATCTATTTTGGTGCAAAAAATTGTGAAATCCACGTATAGGCTTTTAACTTTCTTTTTTCTTTTTTTTTTTTTTTTTTTTTTTTGGCGTTTTCAAGACAGCTCCTATGATACCCGGAAGTTAATGGAGGAAGTAGTTTAGGATGTGTTTGTTTGAAAGAAAGGAAAGCAAACACTTGACCTTGCTTGACTAAGTCATGAATGGAGTTTAAATGACACCTGTGTAACATAAGGAAAACCTTGAATGAAGACCTGCCTGTCAAGTGAGGGATTGAGAGTCTCACACTTTTCCTCATAGCCAGCAGCCCCATCCTCCATCCCTTCCCTACACACAGCCTCCTTCAGTGATCCCCTTTGCAGGAGGTAGATGCACAGTTAGGGTTTCTGGTGAAGTTACCTGTAAAACGTTAATTGTGCTCCTTTGGTAACACTATCTTTTAAAATGCAAAAAAAAATAGGGCTTCCCAACTCCTCCTAGAGTGTGTCAATCCCTGTCCCTTAACGTGAAGACTGGCCCAGACTTATTACTTTGGTTACTCTCAAAGGAATGGTGCGACCTCAATTTATCTTCAGGGTGGGGGAAGGGAGCTACTGGTCTCACCTTTTCTTTGGGGCAAAGCGGTAGAAATTACTGCCCAACATGAGAATAAATGTTTTTTTTTTTCCTGCTTTTGGGGTGATTCATGTAAACCCCCCCTTCCTGAGATGGTGCATAAAAAGCACCATTTCCATCGTTTTCTTGGGTCTTTCCTACCTGGGAGGCCGCTCCTGTCCCTCAGGCAAGAGCCCTTCTTCTCTTCTAAACACATTATACTCTGCAAACAGTTTGTCCGCGTGAAAATTCTTCTGTCTCGTAAGAAACGAGGCTGCCGTGGTTTTTCACGTCCAATGTCCTACAACACCATTAGACCCATGGGCTGCACTAGGGGAAGGGACCCTGACTAGGAAGCTCTAAGGGCTGTCCTGAAGATGGGACAACTTCTGATTTTTCATCCACCTGCTATATCTTTTTTTTTTTTTTAGATTTATTATTACAAAGTCAGATATACAGAGAGGAGGAGAGATAGAGAGGAAGATCTTCTGTCCGATGATTCACTCTCCAAGTGAGTGCAACGGCCGGTGCTGTGCCGATCCGAAACCAGGAGCCAGGAACCTCCTCCAGGTCTCCCACACGAGTGCAGGGTCCCAAAAGCATTGGGCCATGCTCGACTGCCTTCCCAGGCCACAAGCAGGGAGCTGGATGGGAAGTGGAACTGCCGGGATTAGAACCTGCACCTATATGGGATCCCGGGCGCATTCAAGGCAAGGACTTTAGCTGCTAGGCCACGCCGCTAGGCCCCTGCCTGCTATATTGTGAGGCTGGTGCTACACAGGGCTGAAAACACGGATCCCCAGCAGCTATTCACACATCCAGTTACTTCAAGCTGATTCTGGAAGCACAGTCTAAAATAGATGGACTTCTTGCCAGACTATACTGGCTTCTATAAAAAGCCATTAGCCTGCTAAAGGACAGAAGGCACAATTTGCCAAGTCTTACTTGATTTTGTCACTTGCTTCTTTCTGTATTCACCTCCCTCTTCTGGGATGGAGCAGAAGCAAAACCTTGTTGGGACACCTACTTTGATTTTTCCCTCAGTGGGAACTGGCTGTGCCCACTGCCTGCGATACCCCCGTCTTTTGCACCTCTGCTCATGGGTCACCTCTTTCCTGACCACTTCTCTTAAAAGGCCTCTACTTCTCCCTAACCCCTTAGTCTTGGCTCACTCTGGTGCCTCGTCATAGGAGATTTGCGGGACCCTAATCGTTCTGTTTTTCCGCAGTGCTCCCAAGTATCCAGGCAACATGTCAGGTGACACAAACCTGCAGGCAGAACAACCTGCACAGAAGTGGGGAGGGCAATTGTTGCTGTATCCCGATGGGCTCCTCCCCCAGCCTCTGGTGGCGCAAAGAGGCTATGTACTGAAAACCGCCCCTCCCAAGAGGGACCAGGGAGCATCTGCCTTTGAGCCAGATTGTGGCACTGGTTTCTGCTCTGGTTTCTCTGATGCCTGGTGCTCCAGGCAGAGCCTTCCGGAGACCCATCAAATGGGGTGGGAAGACAGGATTGGGTGTATGATGGGTACATGATGGGTGTGCAGTACTTGAGGCGAGGCAGCAAAGCGATTGCACGCCTGTGGACTCGCTGTGGTGCAGATGCTAGGCTGTTCCGTCATGAGTCGGGGGTGAAGTGTCACCCACAGCAGCAACTCCAAAGAGCCAGTCTCCTCCAGCCTCCTGCACTGCAGGCGGCCCCATAGGTGGTTCATGCTACAGCTGCAGAAAATGACCCCGGGCCAAAAGGGGACCCCGGACTAACAGGAGTCTTCTATTCCCTCCTGAACTTTTTTTGTAGCAAAATACAAACAAACCAAAAAACAAAAAACAAAGAGTTGCATTTCTTTTTCCAATTAAGAAAAACAGAGACAGAGGAAGAAAAAAGAAAGATACATTTCATTTCATCTGCTAATTTGTTCTCCAAACAGCACAAAGACCAGAGCTGGTCAGAGCCAAAGCCAGGTGCCTGGAACTCCATCTGTGTCTCCCATATTAGTGCAGGAGCGCAAGCACTTGGGGGCATTTTCTGCACTTTCCCAGGTGCATTAACAGGGAGCAGGATCAGAAGCTGAACAGACAGGCCTCAAATAAGCATGCCTATAAGATGCCAGCAGCTGGCAGCTTAACTGGGTGCACCAACACATCAGCCTCCAAGTTGGTATTCTATAAAGGGGGTCAGCTTTATTTCTGTTAGTAATGCAGAAAATACTGCGACTTTTAGCAGCCAAATCTCAATCATCAAAGAGGAAGTGGTTTGTATATTAAGTACAGGAAATTAATAGGAGGAGAGAAAGAGAAACATACAAAGCACCAGTATTGGTTTCACCCAGGCATCTAAAATTTGTAATTATGATACAGGAAAGAACCACGGCTTGCCAAAACCCCCAGTGTCTTTCCACGGCTTGGCTAGGTCGTGACTTCTCTGTTGCTTTCGAAGCTGTTGGCCAGCAAGTAGCTGGTGCCCGCCCAATGTGCCGGCTCTGTACCCTCGTGCAAGTCTCCACAAGCCCCCGGGGGGCTGGTGCTCAAAGGCCTGAGCACAGGCCGCCAGGCAAGATGGACTCACCTGTGAAGTGTCCCTGCTAAAGCCTGGTGCAGGACTATCAGCTCTCGCCCCTTCAGGGAGCTAGGCAGGAAAGCAGCTTCCTGATTAGCCTTCAGACCTGCTAAATCTGCATTCAAAAAACAGAACCCAAAGTGATAAGCCTTTGTGCTTGGCTTCAAAACCAAAGGAGCAGGTGATTCCAGTGCAAAGGGGCCTGGAAGGGGAGCCCACGCCATCACCGCACTGCCCACCAGCAGCCTGTGCTGTCCCCGCCTTCACAAACCCACCACTCCTACTTTGGACCTGCGGGTTGCCTTGCAGAGATGAAAGTGGATGCAGGGAAACACACTGTGAAATCAACCGTTTGGAATGGACAGCCAGCAGCACAAAGCTACCAGCAGTTTTAAGTACCACTGCTGCAGGGGGTGAGGGTGGGGTTTACCAGTGCACCTCCAGGGGAAACTGGAGCAGCCAGTAGTTTCCCACAACAGACTGGGCTTTGCAGAAAGCAGTGGGAAGCTGCAAACAAAGGCTCAGGGATTTCAGCGGGGCCCACTGGCTTCTTTTAGCTCTCAGAGGTGCAAAGATCTGCGTGTTAGATTTCAGACCCCAGGGCCCCGAGCTGCCAGGACACGGCTAGGAGTGGAGGCTTCGATTCCGCAGGAAGATCGTGCTGGAGACAAAAGGCTTCAAGTAGGTTTTTGAAAAGGTTGCCTGAAAATTTTATTGATAAATAAAAAGATCCATCCCGAAGTTCTTAAATTGCTGGATCTGTTGTCCTCACTCCCATGTTCTCCTGTGGCTTCTGAACAGGCAAAACTCTTGAGTCAGTGACCCCGAAGTTCACACCAAACATCAGTGATACAAACGATATTTCCCGCAGGACTTCAGTTTAACAGGTCATTTTGTTTCCTCACGGCTCTTATTAGGCTACTAATATTTTGCACCATTCTAACTTTATTCTGAGAACCTCCTTCAAACATAGCCAGAAATACACTGGCTTCCTGAGAGATGACAAGGAGTTATTTAGCCGGCGTGGGGGCAGGGGGAGGTGAGGAGGCATAACATTCGGTCATACCGATGCAATATTCATCAGTAGCTCAGGGTGTTTACAAGCCGTCACATTGCTTTGGGAGGCTGATTTCGACCTTTCGCTGTTACTGTCCCAGAGCACCACAGAGTAAATGTCACTTGTTCTATATGGCTCCTTTAGCAATCGATAAGGCCTGCCCTTCCATCAGAGGACTGGATCACTCTGGGGAATTTGAAACCCAGACACTGCAGGAACAAAGACTGAGCCGGAGTTGGGCTTTGCCTCCCGCAGTCAAGCTTGGCCACAGGAAAGGCAGGTCGCGTTGGAAGGTATCCGGGGTTCCCGCTGTAGGCGGAACCGCAGCTCCCAAGTTTAGGGTCGGGTTGCATTGGCGTGTCCTCCGCGATCCTCAAGATCCCAGTGGAGCCAGGGGCCCGGGCGGGGCTGGCGTTTACAGGTCCGAGTCGCAGGGCAGCGAGCTCTGGCAGGGCCGGGTGCTGCGGGAGGAGGCGCCCTGCGAGCGGGCTGCCCTGTCCCGTTCGCCGTCCAGTACGTCCACCGGGTTGGTGTAGGAAGTCTTGAGCCGCGGCTGCGGCAGGGGGAAGCCGACCTTGGGTTTGCCGGTGGCGCCGGGCTGCTGGGCGGGCGGCGGCCGGTGCTGGCCCTCGCTGTAGTACTTGATGGCAGGTGTGAGCGCAGGCTCGGGCCAGTCCACGTAGACGGTGCTGATGCTGCTCCGCCGCGGGTGCGCGGGGGGCTCCTTCCTGCGGCAGCGCTCCTCGCACCAGGGCGCGAAGCTGAGCGCCAGGGAGAAGCCCCCCAGCAGCAGCAGGCAGCTGCCCAGGTAGCCCAGCACTAAGCTGTAACTGACCTGCGCCGTGACCGGGCTCTCCTCAAAGGGCAGGACGTCGCGGTCCCCCAAGAAGTGGTTGTACCACGAGACCGGGATAAGGCTGAAGAGGCCAGCAATGAAGAGGACCACGCCCGAGACGCCGGCGAGCACGTAGTGAGGCTCATCGCGCCAGCAGCGCACGCCCAGCGTGGCCAACAGCAACCCCAGGCCCGTGATGGCCAACGACGTGACCATGAGACCCCGCGCGGCCAGCACCGGCTCCGCGGCGAAGTAGCCCAAACTGTCGGTCTGGCCACATTCACGTTCGCGGCTGCTCTGCTCTCGGCAAATGTCCCACAGGCCCTGAAACAGCACCACGTCTACCGGCTGGTTCCGAAAGCCCTTCACCAGCCGCCAGCCGGGCGCCAGCGTGCTGATCAAGTTGAGCAACAGAGCGCAAGGCGCGAACACCAGCCCCAGCGTCATCACCACCGGAGTGCGCATTTTGGGATCCGGCCGTCGGGACGCAGCACCTGCTGTTGCTTACGGGGACTACAGTCTCCTCGCTCTTCTTCCGACGTGTTCTCCAGGCTCCGGCTCTCTGCTCCCTACCTGGCGGATCCGGCGTTCCCAGCGCGCGACAATCCTCCCCACACGACGTCTGTTTAGCTCCTGGCGTCCCAGCTGCTCCGCCCTCCCGCCCGGGCCACTGTCCCTAATCGAAACCAGTTCTCGGGCGGGTCTGACCGAAACCACCGGCCGAGGTGCCGGCGCCCGAAGGCGGCCGCGGTTCGGTCCTGGTGGGAGGGGCGCAAGGTCGCGCAGGAAGCGGAGGAGCCACCAGGTGCGCGGTGCGCTCTGGCTGCCGGCCGGCCCCGGGAAGGAGCAAAGGTTGCCCCGCCTCTGCCCGTCTGTCCCGGCCAGCCATGGGCGGAGAAAGCAGGGGGAGGAGAGCCCCAGCCCGCCACACCCGCCTCGGTTGCTGCTCCGTTAGCCCGGGGTCCGAAACCTTTTTTTGGCTTAGCCGACGACGGCTAGCGGGCCTGCCCCCTGCTTGGCACTGTAGGCTTGCTGTCACCGGCAGGGTCACGGGTGGTGCAGGACGTTCTCCGACCCCGGAGTTGCGCCAGGCCAGGTGTGCATGCTAAGCTGGCGGAGTGGAGAATCGTGTCCCAGGAGGCTGCACTTGTTTAAGATTTTACAAAACCCTGCTTTATTTGCTCAATGAAAGGCTCCACGTCCTGGCTTCAGTTTGACTCAAAGAATCTCGGAGTGCGTTGAAAGGTTGCTAGGGACTGGTTGCTGTTTTTCAACCTAGTGATAGAATTGGCCGCGAACAGAAGGGAGTTTTCCGGGCGACCTGGAGAGCACACTGGGCAGCTCTATGTCCCTGTGGTCCTTTATCAACTCGTGTAATTTTACAACTATTACACGAGCCCGCGTATTGCAAATATTTTAGTCAGCAGAATTTAGAATTTTTTTTTTTGCATTTTCATATTACAATGGAAATGTGTTACTTAATTGATTAAAAATCAAACATTTTCTAAAACTCGAAGAGACTTGACTACTTTGTTTTTATTTTAAATAAATTTTAAAATTAAAAGCTGTAGTAACATATTCATGACATAAAAATGACCTCCTTAAGCATTTTTAAGAGTACACCTCTGGCATACTGGTCAGCACGGATTCGAGTCCCGGCTGCTCTGCTTCCCTTCCAGCTCCCTGCTGAAGCTTCTGGAAAGCAGAAAGCATTGTAGGATACCCTAAAAGCTTGGGCATGTAAGAGACTTGGAAGAAGCTTCTGGTTCCTGACTTTAAACCTGCACAGCTCCAGCTATTGTGGCCACTTGGGAAGTGGACGTGTGGATAGAAGTCTCTCTGGCTCTCCCTCTCTCTGAAATTCTACCTTCTAAATAAATGCATCTCTTTTTCTAAGAGTATATCTGATTGGCTTGTGATAAATTATTCTGTGCGACCTTCCCCTCCTCCATCTCAGAGTGCTTTCCTTCTTTGCAGACTGAAGCAGTCCCCATTTAACAAGTACGCCCCTCCACGCCCCGAAAACACCACTCTGCTTCCGTCTCTACGAATGTGTTAATTGAAGGTACTATGTGTAACTGGATTCCTGGACTACATGTCTATTGTGACTGAGCTATCTTACCTAGTGTCCTGGCCTCCTAATTCGTCCATGCCATAGGCTGTGTCAGAATTTCCTTCCTTTGTGCAGCTGAGTAGCAGTCCATTGTGAGTTCTTACCCCATATTCTCTACCCATTTATCTGTCCACAGGTACGTGGATGACTGAGAAGAACGCTGTTGTGATGTGAATATGACCTGGGGCTCCAGATGGGCAGGCAGGCAGGAAGAAACAAGATGGAAGGCTTTTTCTTTTCAACAATTTTTGTCTTTAACCCTGCATCTTAACCCCACCCCTTACATGCCAACCCTGTGGACCGACTTTCCCACGAGGCACCTGAGATTCCTCCAGCACCCAGAAGGAGGGGCCGCTGTGGTGATCACGTGTGCATGTGTTATAAAACTGCCATGAAACTCCCCCAAGAAGACCTCGTATGCCTGAAATCCCACTTAAATGCCACCGACGTTGTGCATTCAGTTGGGGCTCAGCCCCCTACCCATACCGGGATGCTTGGATGTGGGGGGTGGCCATTGTCCAGCCTTCTCCCCTCTTTTTTCCTCATGGGCACCTCTTTCTCCCACACCCTCTTAGGAAGAGTTCCTCCCCTCCCAAGTTTGCTCATACTCACATCTGTATCCTCACGTTTGCTTGAAATCATTGCTGCTCTAATCACTGAATTTTACCTTTGCCTTGACTTGGAATTCTAATCTCAAGCAGGGGCCAAAGCATGGAATCAGAGCTGGAAAAACACATTCCTAACACAAGCTCAGATTTCTCTGAAAGTCTATGTTCCATTATTTTGTGTATATTCCCAGAAGTGGAATTGCTGGCTCATGGGATCATTCTACTGACATTTCTGGAAGAATTTATCTTACTATTTTTCATAGGAGCAGCCCCATGTTACATGCCCATCCACGGTCCCTAAGTGTCTCTGATTATGTTTTAAAAGAATTCATGTAGAATCCTATTTCTTTTTATTCAAAGTAACTTTTGAAGTTTCTTTAGTCTTTGTTTTAGAGGAGAGAAGGAGTAGGGCCATGTCTACCTTTGTTTTGTGGTAGGTATTTTCAGAAAGGATAGAGAAGAGAGAGAATGACTTGCAGTGGTTATGCTGAGCTGTTTGTGGTTTACTTCAAGACACATTAGCGTGGGCAGTGCAAAGGTCACCTGGACCCCTGACAATAAGGAAGTTTTAATCAAACTCCCCAGCGAGCAGTAAGGAACTCGGGAGTGATGAGGAAGCCACGAGCCAGAAGCAATTACTACCTGATGCTAACTGACCAGTCACCTGCCACCTTCTCAAAATGTGTGTCAGTAAGTCTACCTCTGCTCTCTCCTCTCCCTCTTCTTCTGTTCTGGTGATTTCTTTGCACCATGAATCAGTTGCTTTCTGCCACAGGCACTGCATGCTTGCTTTCAACTCTATCCTAGCAGAAGTTGGCTGTACAGAATTGGCCCGGCTGTTCCCCAGGTAATTTGCCGGCATTTCAAAGACAAGTCGCAATACCACGCTCCAAACAAGCTTCTAAGGCACAGACATCTTTGTCTCCAGTTGGCACCTGAGACTTGGATGAATTAATTCAATACCGCAAGTAACACTCTTTCACTGAAGGGTGAAGTCACTGCTAAGTGAGATTTGTGAACTGGCTGGAAATACCAGCCAGGAGTTCCTGCTCTTCCAGGAACAGGTATTTAAATCTGGTTAGCCCTGTAACAACCCGACCAATGAGAATGTAGCCCCAGGCTTGACAGAAATTCTGTTCAGGGTTGATTCAAAAGGTTACTCCTTGCCTGACCCCAACCACTAGGTTAGCTTATCCTGCTGCATAGCATATTGCTTCCAGCAAATTTTCCTGACAGGTGTTTTTGGAGAACCTACTAGAGACCCAGGAATTTGCCACAGGTGCAAACAGTTTGAGTAATGTTTTTGTACCTACTTGATAATAAATGAGTGGATGTGATATGAAATTTGACTTTTTCTAGAACAGCAGCAGAAGCTAGTAACAAAAAATGTATTTTTAGTTATCTCTAGATTTATTTATTCATATTTGAAAGACAGATTTACAGAGAGAAAGAAAGAGAGGAGAGGTCTTCTATCCACTGGTTCACTCCCCACATGGCTACAGTGGCTGGAGCCGGGCTGGTTCAAAGTTAGGAGACTCCTCACAGTCTCTCTTGTGGGTACAATAGCCTAAAGACTTGGGCCATCTTTTGCTGCTTTCCCAGGCCTATTAGCAAGGAACTGGATTAGCAGTGGAGCAGCTGGGACTCCAACCACTGCTCACATGGAATGCTGATACCACAGGCGGAGACCTAACTTACTGCATCATTCTGCCGGCCCCTATATTTTTCATTTTTGAAGGTATAAATGGTTTATAATAAAATGCTCATAAGCAAGCTAAAATTGGTAAACAAGGCACTGTGCATATGACGTTTGGTCAGTTTTAACAATGGTCCACACCTGTAAAACTACCACAATGAGGATTATGACTGGCATAAAAATTGGCACATGGATCCATGGAATAGAGCAGAGAACTGAGAGAGTAATCCATGTGTGGGTGTTTTTGTTTTGTTTTGTTTTTGAACAGAAGAGCCCAGAGCATAGATTGAAGAAAGGGTAGTCTTTTCGATAAATAGTACTGGCAAAACTGGCTCTATGTATGTAGAAGGATGAAATAATATCCTGCCCCTCAGCATATACAAAAATCAACTCAAGATGGCTCTGAGAGCTACATTTAAGACTTCCACTTATAGAATTGCAAGGAGACAAGGTAGTGGAAACGCTTGAAGGCATTAATGCAGGTGATGATTGTGGATAAGACTCCCCTGCTCCAACACACAGGCTTAAAGCAAAACTAGACAAATGGGATTAGATCAAACCCAGAAGCTTCACTTCAAAGGGGATGATCAATGGACTGAAGAGACATCTGACAGGATGGAGAAAATGTTTTCAAGCTACTTATCTGACAAAGGATTAACATCCACAGTGTACTAACAACTCAGAAACTCAAAAATCAGAAACAACTAATCCACTTACGCGATGGGAGAAAGAACTGAACAGATGGTTCGTGAAAGAAGCAATACAAACGGTCAGCTAACACATGAGAAAGTGCTCAGTATCACTAGCTGACAGGGAAATGCAAATCACAACCACACTGTCCCCTCACCCTCATCCAAATGGCTGTTAGCCATAGGCAGAGAGCAACAAACCTTAGTGAGAATGTGGAGAAAGGCGAACTCTTCTTTTTAGATATTCAATTTATTTTTTTGAAAGGCAGAGTTATAGACTGAGAGGAGGACTCTCTATCTCTATGTCACACACACACACACACACACACACACACACACGCACACACACACATACGCAT